AAATTCAACATGTCTGATTATAATATGACTTTGGGGGTCCTCTGAGTTGAAACATTTTGTAGGGAAATTGTACTCTTTTTATTGCTATCTTTTTTTTTTTTTTTCTCCGGTACCGGGAACCGAACTCACGACCTTGCGCTTGCCAGGCAGGCGCTTTTGCTGCTGAGCTAAATCCCCAGCCCCTGTACTCTTTTTATAATTGTCTTAATTTTCTTCCATTCTTTCTAGGCCACCCCTACTAACTATATTAAATATTTCTTTTCTCTTTTTGGAATCTGAACTTATGAAATAAAGAACAGATAAAGAAAATAAGATGCATTGGAAATCCAAACTGTTATAGTATGGTAGGAAAGAAAAAGGTAAGCTTTGCATGAAATTCTGGAGCCTCAAATGAGAATGTAAGCAGAATGTTTAGTGACCTTTTCTTAGGATGTGCACATGAAGGAATGTCATGGTACACTGACTAAACTTTCATTAATTTGCATTTTCAGAATATTGTTATTAATGCCACATGACACTTCACAAATTACACTATAATACTACATTCTGTACAAATCACTCACCTCTGGTTGCCTTTTTGGGCTGTTACCTTAACCTCTGTTCTCTTACAGGAAAAAAAATGTACTTGGTCTTTATTTTCTACAGAGGGTACAAGTTTTTGCTGAGCAATGATGCTGGCTCTCAAGCTATGTTCTGAGGATATAGCTACTACATAATTTTAAGAGGGGTGGGGGAAGACAATTCCTATGGTCTAATCCAAAGTTTGAGAAATACTAAGTTAAAGTTAAAAATGATTCATTCTAGCAGCAGTACTCAAAACCTTTAATTCACTAACTATGCATTGCGATCTCACAAAAGGGGAGTAATTTATTTTGTTGCTCAAATTTATTTGATCATAGAATATGCTTTTCAGAGATTTTTCTCACAACTAGTGTTTTCTATCATGTATGTTGAGAAATAATGGGACCAAACATCTTGATACATTTAACACGCACGGTTACAAAACCCACAAAAGTTTAAGCGGTCACTGAAGTAAGTAAACCCAAAAGGTAGAGGATTAAGGAAAGAAAGCTAGCACACCATCAGCAATAACCACGCTGCATTCTGAGCCATGCTCCAAGGACTAAACTAGAGTTTATCCCTAAGAAAGTTTCCATATTCCATTTAATTAAAACTCACTTGGCCCCATCTAGGTATCTTCCAGAAAGAGCTTAAGACACCATATTACAGTAATAATGCATACCACATTTATAGCAGCACAAGTCATCACAGCAAAGTCTGTACGTCCCTCAAGAGATAAATGGACAAAGAAAATGTGGTATTTGTACATAATGGAGTCCTACTCTGCCATTAAGGATAAATTTGAGTCATTTGTAGGAAAATGGATGCTTACTGAGACCAAAATGCTAGTGAAATAAATCAGACACACAAGTTTAAATATTTCCTGGTTGCTTCTGTATGGGAAACCTGAAGTATAAATACATAAAGTGCAAAATAGACAAATAATAGGAAGTAGGGAGACAGGTACTTTGCAAGTGGGAAGGGGACTAAGAGACCGAAAAGGGGAAGGGAGAACAGGGAAAGTGATGTAAAAAGAATTATGATGTGTTGTATACATGTGCAACTTCTCGTGAATGTAGTCACTACGTACAACAAACACATACCACTAATAAAAGTAAAAATTTAAGAACAACACAAATCCACCCCATTCGGGCACTAACCAGTATTAGGCCATGAAGTATTCTCACGTATCTTCATTTCGGTCCTGAGCTCAGTACAGCTCCAGTTCTGTTATTCTTAAATGTCCATTAACATGATTGCCTAACAATTACCAAGGCTAACTGCCAAGCACTTTCCATAGGAAGCAAGAGGCACTGTTTAATTGCTCTTCCAGTTTGTGCAAAAGGGTCAATATGTCCTTTTTAAAAAAAAATCTTTTGTATGTTCTTGTAATTGAAGAAACATCTGTAAAAACACTACTTGAATGACTGCAAGATAGGGGAACATTCCAGGCATAAAGCTAAGCAAATGTAACAATATAGATCTGAGGGTGAGGCAGTAAAAGATTCGGAATTGACAGGCTCCATCTATAAGAAGCACGATGGGACCTGATGAATTCCCCAGTCACACTGTTTTTCTAGAATTATGATTTCTGCAGAGACCACCATCAGTGTTACAATGGACTGATTCCAAGGTCTCAATTAGTAGACTTTTATTTTCAGCAGATCTGCAAAGCTCACCCAAGTGTCTCCTTCATCATCTTCCCTGCTCCCAGAAAGCATCAGAGCTAAGAACTCAAGTCAGAGGAATCAACTGTCAATATCCTGTCACAAAGCTTTAGGAAAACAAATGAGAAGAGGATTAGTACTGAGCACCCTGGTAAAACCCCAAACAGATCTCTTCCCTGTTTTACAGATTAAGAAAACTGTGGCTGAGCGAGGTTATGAAATCTGTCTAAGGTAAAGCCAAAGGCTGATAAGCAAATTAGGCAAAATCTGAGTTAGGCCTAGTGAGTCCAAAGTTTGTTTTACAAGGTTGAGCTGTCTCGTCATTAAAAAACAAAACTCCATTTTTAATACAAGCACAAATGACCCACTTTTGCATTTTCTCTTGGTCTTTAGCAAAACATCTCAATTTTTATCATCACATCAACTTCAAGAGTCCTGATAATGTTTAGATCTTCTCATTCATTTGCCCAAATCAACGGGGTTATTTATTTTCAGCTGCGGATAATGAACTTTCCTAACTCAGCATTTTGTGGGGGGAAAAAAGTCTCCATACTTGAATTGCTTCATTTCATGCTCATTTCTTGGTGTACATCTTCCTGATCTCCTTTTAAAAATAGACTCCAAAATCATGACATATTCAAGTATGAAAGACAGGCTGGGAGCACTGGGAGCACAGATCCGAAAGCCACATGGCGACCGCACCTGTCTGCAGTCACTGCACATCCAACAGAAAGTTCCACTCTGGGAAGCATCCCTCCTATATGCTTGATTTAAAATATACACCAACACTGCCTTGGGACTGCGGATTTGGATTTTATGTGTCTGTCTCAGTTGACATTAGGGTTGAGTTTCTTTATTCTATTCCTCATTATTTAAGGAAGTAAAATTTCTTAAAACTTTTAAAAAAAATTCTATGATTCTATCTCAAAATTAAAAAAAAAATTACAAGGGATGGGGATGTGACAAAGGCACTCTGGGTTCCACCTCTTTAAAAAAAATACCCGCTATTCTTTAGTCAACTGCAATTCACGGGCCTTCCCAGTGAAAAAAAAATTTAAAGTTAAAATCCCACTGTCATTATTAACTTTTTAATTCTGTTGACAGATGTTTGCTTTTACTGTGTGGTAAAAAACCAGTTGGCAAAGGAAAAAATGTAATGTAGCTTGAAAAATAGTTTACTTGAGAAATCTGCCTAATAGTTTGCTTATTTTGCTTGCAGGTATCGTAATTTGTATCCCCGAAAGGGTAAAGAGAAAAATCAATCTTTTCCAGGAAAGACAGTAATACAGCAAAGCTTCTTTCCCTCTTGCTTAGCCCGATACCACACATTCACAAATGAAAAACAATTCCGTGAGTGCTATTCCTCATACAGATGCCCACAACACCTGCTTCCAAATTTTCATGTCAGATATTATGTAACGGACTTGCTCCTTACTCTGAAAACAAGCAAGGATTTCCTAGTAAGGTTTCCTCGCCTTCACCCCCTTATCTTCTTACTTCTTCCCATCTCCTCACACAACCTGAAAACAAGTGCTCTCATGCAGCAGAACACATGGCTGAGCTGGACTCACACCTACCACTGCCCGGATGAGTGGGTCAAGCACTAGTCACTCAAAAACTGACTTGACTATCTACGTTTAATTTCCTTACAAATTAATCATTCTTTCAACCTGTCAGGACCAGATTCCAACAGTAGTGTAGTTCCTGCTTATTTCTGCAGATTCCCTGGGCATGGTCAAAACTTTAGGTAGATATAATACAGTCCACATCTTACCCATGCTAGCAGGTAACTTTTCCCCCAAAATAGGGAAAGGTGGGTAAATTTTCTCTCCACATCTATATGTACCCATCACTTTTTTCCTGCTCTGGCCACCATGCTCAGGTTCTTTATAGGCAGAGGTTACTTGTTGGAAAGTATCCATCACACTCACTGTTGATTCTACCACTGTAATCTCACTGATGTGATGACAGCTCAGTAATCTGAGATCAGTGTTTCTCAAAACAGAAAGTATGTATGAATCACCTGAGGAACTCTGTTGAAATACAGATAGATTTAATAGGTTTGGAGTAGAGCCCACACTTCTGCATTTCTAAGAAACATCAACCTGATACCCTTGCTGCTGGTCTGCTAATTGCATTTGAGTAGCAAGGTCTTAGTACCTTCCACCTTCCAGATCACATTTGATCTGAAAGTCTCCTTCTGACTGGTTATCTACCATGAAAACTACACCAGGCACAGAACTCAGATGCTCTGCACTGGGAGACTCCTACTCCGCACAGAGGAGTGAAGTTTGCTGACTACTACCCAGACTCAGCGTCCTGCATCCTGCCCAGAATGACTTCAGTCTTCTGGGTTAGCTACATGACAAATCCTGTTTTAGCCTCACCAGCCTCATCTACACTGCTCTATCAGCAACACAAACATTACAACTGTAAGGAACCTGTCCTAACCATGAGAACCTGATTCACCAGGTCTGAAGTGGGTCGTACAGATAAACAAATACTCCAGGTCAGGGATGGTAAACCTTTTAGAGACGAGTGCCCAAACTGCAACCCCACACCCACTTACTCATCACCAAGGGCCAACATTGCAATTAAACGTGAAAACTGAGGTTTTAGTTTAGAAAAAATAACTGTTATCTGACGCTGTTGGGGTGAGCTGGCTCACGTGCTGACAGGGAGGGCTCTGTGTGCCTGCTGCACCATGAGCCATAGTTTCAGTGCCACTGCTCTTGGTGATCGTAATACATTCTCAGATTCTGTGCAAAGAAGTACAGATGACCTCTTTAATACAATGGAGAAACTTTATCTTACAGCTGTTAATCCTTGTGGAAAGCAAGGGAAGTGAAAAAAAGCAACAGAACTTGAGCATGATGTCAGAGACAATTTCCTCCTAATTTGGACCCTGGCACAAGGGCATTTATGCTTAAATCCAGCGTGTTCTATCTTTTTCCTCTGGAGAAGTCTACTAGAAACATGAAATATGTCTTATGTGTTCTACAGAAAATTATTTTAATGTGCATATTGTTACAGATATATTCAGTGATCAAAATGTGTGTGGAATGGTTCTTTGCCTTTCTGATTAAACAAATGAAACAAAAGTTGTCCATATACAACTTTTAAAGATATGTACAAGAAATGTACATAACAAGAAAACCAATTAACAATGACTGAACATCAGTTGGTGCCTTTTAAATAGTAGGGGCACAGGTAAAATATAAAAAAATAACTTCATGAATGAAATGTCCTTCCCAAGAAAGGCTGCAGTTTGGCTACTTGGTTTCTTCTAGGGTGGGTGTGGCATCTTGAGGGGTGGCAGCCTCTGCCAGTGGAGCAGCCAGTCCTGCTGACACTGCAGCCATCTCACACAAAGCAGGGATGACTTCTGTTGGACTAGGGCTCATCTCAGTCTGATCAAGGGTAGCCTTAGCCTGACTAGAGGTGGAATCAGGCTGAGAGGCTGGGGTCTCTGGACTGCAGCTGGCATCTGTTGGACTGGGTATGATGTCATCTTGAGCAGCCACGGCCTCTTCTTCTGTTTCTAGTTCTGTCTCCTGGCTTGGAATTTCCTCTCCTTCTTCTACCATAGCAGGTGGTAATTGTAAGAAAGTCTAATTTAAAAAAAGACACCAATATGAGCCCAAATTAAAAAAAAAATACAAGTTTCTCACCTTAGCAACATCCTTTTAATAGATCATGCTTACTTACCCTGGTGTTCTCGGAAACAAATTGGCATTTTATATACAGATTTTACACCTCTCCTAAAAATGACCTAGATTCTGCTAAAATCAGGGAATTCACCTATATATATGTCACATACTAATGATCATAGTACATACTAAATCTTTATAAAGTAAAACAATATGAATCGGAACGTGCTATAATGTGAGAAAAAACAGTGGCTGATAGGACTGACTGCCACACTAACTCAAAAGCCCATTTCAAAGAAGGAGCCCTGTCAGGAGCCAAGTCCGAAGCCTGTCACAGGCGAGGAGGAACAAGGCACAGGCACCCGTCTCAGCGAACCAGAGAACCGGAGGAGCTCTCTATGCGCAGCTTCCTCTGATGCCACTGCAGTCTGCAGCTAAGCCACAGTGTCTCTCTTTGTGGTCTTTTTAGTTTGTCAGAAATTTAAATTTTTTAAAGAATCACAACATTTTTTAAAGAATGGCAACAAAAATATGAGAAACAGCAAAAAAGCTAGCAAAATGTGTGCACGGTTTGTGTGTGAAAAACTAAAACACTGATGACAAAACTCAGACATCTAAATAAACAATGAGCTGTATCATACTGATAGAAAGGAAGACTCAATATTGTTAAGATGCTAATCTCCACAAAATGTCCCCGAACAATTCTACCACACAAAACAGCCTACTTAAACTGCACCAAGGTTTTAGGGGCAGAAATTGGTCAGCTGATTCTAAAATAGAAAAAATATAATACTAAAAACAATTTTTGAAAAAGAACAAATCTAAAGCACCCATGCTAATTTTAAGATTTACTGTAAAGCTACTGTGCTCAGGGTGGTGTGGAAATGGTGAAAAGACAGACACATAGATATAGAACAGAATGCAGTACATGGTTAATTTATTTTTTTGACTAAGATGACAAGAAATTCAATAGAGAAACACTGTACAAGATGTGATGTACATATGCAAACAGCACCCAACCGTACTGGAACCACACAAAAAAATTTACTCAAAACATACTGAACCTGTAAATATGAAACCTACAGCTATATAACTGCTGGGAGAAAAATTTTGTAGCTTGAGGTTAAACTAAATATTTTTACGATGTAAAAATGTGAATTCTAAAAAACTATTCTATACACTATACATCAAATTTTAAAACTGCTCTTTGAAAGACATTTGAAGAGAAAAAACAAGTCATGGACTAGGAGAAAATACCTGTAAAACACATACCCGACAAAAGATTTTAACTAGAATACATGAAAATCTCTCAAGTCAATGACAATAAAAATATACAATACGATAAAAAATGAACAAGAAATTTGAGCAGACACATCTTCAAAGAAGATACACAGATGGCAAATAACCACATGAAAAGATGCTCAAAGATAAATATAAATTAAAAAAACATACTAGATCATCACACATCAGAATTGCTAAAATAAAAAAGAAATGCCGCATTAAGTGTGTGTGGGGATAAGTAGCAACTAAAGCCTCGCAGGGTTAAAAGAGTGTAAAGTGGCAGCGCCACTTTAAAAAATAGGCTGGTGGTTTCTTAAAGAGCTAAACATATACTTAACATATTATCTCATCATTCTACTCACACGTACTTACCCAAGAGAAAGTGCAATGACTTATAAAGAATGCTCATAGTAGCTTTATTTCTAACAGCCCCAAATGGAAACAACCTAGATATCTACAAACAAGTGAGTGGGCAAACCACAGGACCCCTCAGAAAGAAAAAAGTGATGGAAAACTGGTACCCACAACATGAGTTAACTGCTAAATAAAGTAAGAAATAGTAGTAACCAGAAGAATATGTCCTGTATGATTTCATTTATATATATGTCTAGAAAATGGAGACTCTTCTGTAGTGCTGGAATTCAGATAAATGGAGGTCTAGAAAATGTGTAAGAGATTGATGAAAGACAAGGAGAGATGACAAAGTAGTACAAGGAAACTTTATGTATCTGTTCATCATCCTGATTATGATGGCTCTACAGGTATGTACATATATCAGAACATATCAAATTGTACACTTTAAATATGGGTACTTTATTATATGCCAAACTGAGTTTATATAAAGATGTTCTAAAAACAAGAGCGTTACATGAATAACAATGAGCACTGTAGTTGATTCCCCAGTTTAAAGATTCATTCTGTGAAAGAGAAGAATATTTCTCCAAGAAAAGTGAACAGTCCATTGCAGAAACTCACCTGGTGATAATGATGTGTAGTCCGTATGAAATGCAGGTACATGTTGTACACATAGTTTGCCATCTGGGGCATATTCTTCACTATCTGGACTTCCTGAGATGGTCTTTCACCATTCTAGAAGAAGGCAAAAGTACAGTTAAATATCCACTGAAAAGTCCTAGAAACCAACATGGAAGTCTGTTTCTCTTTCTTAAAAATAAGCACTGTTAAGGTCTGAGGTTGTAAGAACAGTACGAAGACACACGTGAGGTCCATGTGTGAGGATCTAATGAGTATTTCATGGAGTACAAACTCCATTTAAATTAAGAAAGTGTATAGGCTGGGAGAGGTATGAGTCATGAGCTTTTAGAACAATTTTGGGTTGGTAAGTGAAAGGTGGGTTTTGATCTATTACTAATATTGAAGAACTAACAAAAGAAGTCATTTGAATAGAGAAAAAAAATCAAAATGACCTAAAGTAGTAGTTTCTAATATTGTGTGTACTCCAACGACAGAATGCAAGATAATTCAGAAAAAAATTCTTCCTATTTGTGTTTCTAACATATAAACAGTTAACATGTATTATTGTTCAATATGCAGACATGAAGGTAAATATTTAAAAAATTTTTTTTGCAGACAGCGTCTCACTATGTAGTATGGCTGGCCTCAAACTGGCCATCTTCCTGCCCCAGCTTATGCGCTGGGATACAGGTGTGTACTGCCATGCCTGGCTCAGATGTTCTTTTTTAACTGCACTGTCAACCAGAATCACTTGGGAAAAACTTAATTGCATATCCCTGGGCTCTGGCCTCCATAGACTTTAATTTAATAGGTCTGGGACAGAAAGCTCTGACTAAAATTGTATAGAGTAGTTTCTGTTAATATGAAAAATCTTACTCTAGCAGTGTAAAATAGAAAAGCAAATGAAGGCAACATAAAATGTGTATTACTTCTTAAACCACCTTAAAATAAAGAAAAACAGCTTTTCTGCTTAGAGTCATTAATAAAATCTTATGTTTTCTTACTGTAGAGACCAATTCTGAAAACCACAGAGGTAAAAAAAAATATGTACTAAGACAAAAAATTTTACAAGTGACCAATTATTTAATAACCAGTTTACAAAAGGTTGAGAATGGCAGTTACAGCATGGTGTCCAAACTGCAGTGCCTGCCATTTCTTATATTCCACCTTTTCTTCCTATTTGTCCGAACAGGACTTCTTAAAATGAAAACAAAAATGCAGTTTAAGAAAAATATTTTCATTATTCTAAGACAAACACACAGAATTTATCTTATGTTTAAGGGGTGTAAGAAGTATACTATAAAATTTAAAACTTTCATTTTTCAGTTAAAAATTTTAAAATTTTATTTAAAATGTAATGGACCTTCTAGACATTTCTTAACTTTCGTAAAAGAAAACTGTAACAAAACAATTATTTGCCTCTGTGCAAAGAAGAACGTAAGGATAAACTAGGAAGTAAAAAGACTGGTAGGTGAGGAAACAAAGAAAGAGGAGGAAGCAGGAAGCCGAATGCCACCTCTCCAAGCCTGTGTGTGTGCCCATTTCCCCAAAATGTGAGCTTCTTAATAACTAAACTGTTAATTACTCTGTTACCAGTAAATAACTAAGTTTTCCTCACAGAGCTGAAGAAAAGAATAACACAGTGATTAGTAAAATGAACCTCCGACTGCCTGGGTTTTCAAATCTTGGAACCTCCACTACCTACTGATGCATAGTCAGGACTATTTGATTTCTCTTTGGTTTACTGATATATACAACAGGATTAATATGAAAGCTTACCAAACACATTTTTTGCTGAGATGAAATGAGATAATGTATGTAAAGAACTAGTTGCCTGATACATGCTAAGTACTTAATTGTTAGCTGATATTATTTTTTATGTAGAAAAATCTAATTCAGTTCCTTGTGTATGGGACATTCTAAATCAGTGACTGTTATTAGCTAATGTGTTCACCTATAAGAGAATCTAAATGTCCCACTCTGAGAATACTACTCCTCCATACCATGAAGAAAGAACTCTGTCCTACCTTTCTAGTGGTTGGGAAAGGTTCTGCTGGAATTATATGCAAATGAAGTGGGCGGGCCGTGAGCTGGCTGAAAGCTGGAGTCAGTTCAAAACAGTTTTGGAAGAGGGACACTCTAGCGAAGATATATAGTCCAAGTCTAGCTCTAGACATGGCCACCACTAAGCGACGAACATCCCTTTGGAAAACAAACAAAAAAATAATTAACACACTTCAAGATTAATAACATGTATGCTGCTTATTTTTTTCACATATGTTAGGTTTACTACTATATATCAGTAGGGTAGGATGCTGTTTATATGAACTTACCTATTAAATGAATGATTATACACTAAAAAGACCAGGACAAAAAAGCAGAGGGCAGTAGCATGAATGGGTGGGTTCCTTGGAGCCTTATCTTGAACAGAGGGTCATGAAGACCATCATCCTCTTTCTTAGTCCCCAAAAGAGGGCTGCACAAGAAGAGCACTTAAACAACACACTGTCACACTAAAGAGCACTGTCAAAACCACAATAAGAAAATAACAGAAAAGCTGCAGCCTCACTATTGTATCTGTATAGGTCACAGAATTTCCACTGAAACCGGAGCTGTCCAAATCAGCCAAAGACAACGATAACGAATGCTGGAAAAGGGACCAAAAGCATCTCATTACTCAGGGTTCTAAACAGGTCCACACTGTCCTCAAACAGGTCCTTGGAACTAGTGCTGATAGTCTGGTCCCACGAAACAGGATGAAAAAGGTGTGGGTAAAAGAAACACGACAGGCACTGTAGTTCGAAATAGTTTAGGAAGAAGGATACCAGTGAAGACATAAAGTTCAAGTTTGGCTAGGATATGGCCAATCCCTTAAACAATTAAATACAGTTCTACTCCTATATCTATACCCACGAGAAAAGCAAACAAATGTTCACATCAAAACTTGAAATGAACATTCACAGCAGCATTATTAATAGTCACAAAGTGGGAAAAAACAAGTATGTATCAACTGATGAATAAATAAAATGTGATATATATGTGATAGAGTACATTCTTCAACAATAAAAAGAATGAAGTATTGTTACATCTTACAGTATCGATGAACCTCAAACACACTGAGTTAAGTGAAAGAAGCCAGTAAAAATGAACACACATACACATATACACATATTGTATGACCCTGTTTATATTAAGTATCCAGAACAGGCAAATCTACAGAGACAGATAGTACCAGAGTAGATGCCAAGGACTGATGCCCACTTGCTACTAGTTATTGGGTTTCATGTTGGAGCAATGAAAATGTTCTAAAACTGATGGTGGAAATAGTTGGAGAATTCTGTGAATATACGAAAACCACCAAATTATACACTTAAAATAGGTAAACTGTACAATATAAAAATTGTATCTCAATAAAGCTATTCTTAAAATAGTTTTCCTTGGTGCCCTGAAATACCAGTATTTTCCTACTTATAAAAAAGACATGAAAGATGAGGTCTATAATCTAACATATTCCATAAGAAATCTGATAAGATTCTAACTAAGATACTTCAAACTAAGCTACCAGGGCAACTGATAAGAATCATAAGTCACAGTTAAATCAACATATTCCCTCTGTGTTCTAACACCACCACCACTCTGACCCCCAGATTTTCAAAAGGAAATTTTGGTAAAGACAAAGATGAATTTAGATAAAGTATTTGTGCTTGGAAAATTCTGATATGCAAGACAACCCTAAAATCCTGTTCCTTTTTAATCCTTTAGGCATTTTATCATCAGTCTCTTTTTCTGAAAAATGAAGGAAAAAATAGCATTTTACGAAGTCAGAGTACTGTAGAATAAGAAAAAGGAGGAAACAGTATTCATATATGCATAATGTGTGCTTTTCAGAGGTTTAAATTACATCAGTAAGCCATAAAGATGGTCAATTCAGGAGCTGGGGATTTAGCTCAGTGGCAAAGCACCTGCCTGGCAAGCGCAAGGGCATGAGTTCGGTTCCCGGTACCGGAGAAAAACCAAAAAAAAACCAAAAAAAAAAAAACCAGAAGATGGTCAATTCAGATAGGAGTTACAAATGTCACCAAGGAAAAGGAACTACATTTTGAGTTAAGACTCTAAATACATGCTTGATACTTCAGTAAATACGGCAAATGAACTATTTCACAATGCTATGACCTTGAGACAATTTTTAAAGTTATTATTTTTTGCTTACTCTTGCATAAAAGTTATCATTCTAATGGGATTTGATAAGTGAGTGAAGCTTCAAATAGATCTTGACTTAATGACAACACTGGAAGCTTGGGGTATTTTCTTTTTATATCGCCAAATAAAACAATACAATGAAATAAGTCATATGAGAGGAAGGTTTATCTAAAAATAAATCGCCGCTTTATAATAAGAAGATATTATTCCCGGAACATAAATACATCATGATAAATGATAAAAATAGATTATTGTTCGTTTTGAAAATTCTTAATCCTAAGAGAACAAATGGCTCCTTTATCCCCTAACACTGAAGCTGAAAGATTATATGCACAGAAAAATCAGAAACCCTACAATATGAAAAATTTACTTCTAGAGACTTTTTACTACTCTACTCTTCTAATTGCTTAGTTTCTAACAGATACAGGATTCGTTATGATTTCATGATAAAATGTTATCTCTGAATGGAACCAAAAAATAAGAAGAGTTATAATTACTGCAAGAGTAAAAAATTCAATTGTGACAATACTGGTGAATGACCCAAGAAATCTCATGTTACACTCTAACACAAAACGTCAGAAGTTGCTGTAATGTTTAACAATTATAAATATTAAACTTCAAAAATTACAGAACTATTTTGCCACTGACGTTCAAAATAAAAATAGGTAATAAAGCTCAATAATGTTTTGGAGGTTTTCTCCTACATACCTCAGATGGCCCACTGCTCTCGTTCGTACAAGAGAAAGAAGAATATAATCATTCTGTTGACCTTGAAATCTATCAACAGTTGTCACCTAGGAAGAAAACATGGGGAATATGGTATATTTTCAAAAATATAATAACAAGACCCTACAGATTATTTAAATAATGTACTAGAAATGACCATCTCACCCTTAAAATAATTAAGCCCCAAAGAAACTTAAGCATATGCTCAGAATTGCAAGAATGAGTAAATGAATGTCATTAAAAAATACCACTGTAACCAGAGGAGGCTGCGCCCTTACGTTATTCACATTTACAACACTTGTCTTTACCTTTACTAATTGCTAACAATAACTATTTTTGGAATTCACAGTTTCCCGCAACAGACTCCAGCCAAGCATCATGAAAGCGGGGGCTATGTCTAGCTTATTAACTGGTATCCCAGTTCAACACTCATATAGCATATATCCCTGGCACTTGTTCATGCCATTCCTTTGCAAAGAACAGTAACAACAATAGTCTTCATATTCTGTTTTGTGCAGTGTGAAAGTTTATGTAATATGTGGAGGTTCAGGAAGGTTTTAGTCACTAATATTGGCACTGAAACATTTAACCCCTGTCAATAAAAAGTTTGTTGTTCTGCTATACAAACGATAATTCACGGTTCCTCTACTTTAAGGAAGTTTTTAACACTTTTCTTTAAGCCAACTTCACAGGTGTTATCTACTTATAATAAAATGTGATTCTTAAATGTGTAGTGTGATGAATTTTGACAAGGTATACTTCCATGTAAATGCCACCATCATAAAAATTTCCTTCACCTCAGGCTCTTTTGTAGTCAACACTGCACCCTCCCAGCTTCAGGCCACCACTAATCTACTTTCTGTCACTATAGATTTTCAAGTTCTAGAATGCCATAAAAGCAGGACCCTAACGTAGGGACTCTGGTGTCTGATTTCTGTCACTCAGGATAATGTTTCAGAGAGTTTTCTACATGTTGTGCACACTGGATGTTCCGGTGAATGAATATATCACAAATTGTTCATCTAATCACCCGCTCAGGGACATGTGGGTTATTTCTAGTTTGGGGCTATTTTGAATAAAGCTGCACTGAATATTCAAGGACAAATATTTTTGTGGGCACATGTTTTCATTGCTTGTGGATATATGTAGGAGTGACATTACTGGGCTGAACAGTAACTGTATGTTTAACTTGGTAAGAAAGTGTCAGAATGTTTTCTAAAGTTGATATAACACATTACATATTCACTAGTTGGATGTTTCATTTCCTGAGTTCCAGTTGCTCCACATCCTTGCCAATACTTAATATACTGCCAATCATTAACTCATTCTATGAGATGTGCAGTAATATCTTATCATGGTAAATTCTGGGTGAGTCTTTTTTTGTATGAAGAGTTTGTTTAATTCATTTGTTCACTTCATACTGTGACTGTTATGTTACATGTGAATATTATACCTGGAAATTATGTTATGTTACACATGAGTATTATACCTGTTATGTTACATGTGAATATTATACCTGGAAATTGTTGCCAGCATGTGACCACACAGAGAACTTCTTTACAAGCTGGGCTCATATACTGAGAATAGCAGAGCAGAACCTTGACACCTGAACATGTCACTAAGCTGCCCTACAACTCAACCTTGAAACCACCCTACTACTACCTTCTGTTCTAAAAGACAATAACCTGAGGTCTTTCTAAACTTTCTATGTTTCAGTTACTGGTTTCTGATTTTCACTCTGTATTCCTTTTGGAGTACACTATAGTGTTTATTCCTCTTTATATTCTTTTTGATTCTGCTTTTATCCCTGTAGTTTTACTTTCTCCCAGTTCACATTTCATCTCCCCTAAAATTTTTGCAATTCTCTACTTTATAGCTTTTCCTTATGAAATGGTTATTTCATTGGGCATTTTTAAATTAATAGCAAAATATGTATTCAAATTTTCATCTGTTCTAGGTCAACTTGCTTTCTAGAGAATGGCTTTTACTGGCAGCTGTTTAAAATTTTTCTTTTCTATTTTGAGTTGGGGTCTCTCCATGTTGCCCACACTGACCTCCAGTTCTTGGGTAGAAGTGATCCCTCTGCCTCAACCACCTGAGAAGCTGGGACTACAGGTACATCTTGGTCCATCTTAGCCATGTACTCAGATTCTCTTCCTCATATTTTTCTACATGCAATGGACTTATGTTAGCTGCTTTTAGTATTCATTACTGAATAAGCAGGTTTCTCAGATTAGCTATGTGCAAGAGCTTCAGTTGGGGTGAATAGAGCTGTTTTCCAAATGCTGATGGTTTTTACAATAAAATGTTCTCTGCTTCTATACAGTCTACGTTTTGAAAATATAGCTCACCTGTAGATTTATTTGAACAGATCTGGGATCAGGAAGGCTTCCACCCTCACCCCAATTCCTGCATCCATTGTTGAAAAACAAGGATGTAATGTACATTTCTCATCTTATCTCTCATCTTCAGGAAATATTTTGCTGGTTCTTTAATACTGCTCTACTGAAATGTTTTTTTATGTTTTCTTTCTGATCTCAATATTTCCCTAAAAATGAAGTCTGTCCCCTTGTCCTCCCATTTTCCCATTACTTTTAGAGGATTGCCAAGAAAAGGTAAGTATCTTTTACACAGCCATGTTGAAAACCAGAGTTCTAATTTATAATTGGTAAATTTCCCTCAATATAATTTTACAATCTTCCATATCCCTGAATATAACTTCCTCTACACACACACACGTACACAAACTAAAAAGCATCCAAATCAAACCTTTGAAAAACGAAAAAGCTACAGTTCATTATTTCAATAATAGTATATAAATCATAAATGCAGTTATCCATCATCTTATCAATGAAATGTTTTAGAACATTTATTTCTAATATTATCAAGAAAAATCTTCAAGCTGGTAATTGAGACAAAGTTCACTGCAAACCAGAGAAATGTTGGATATGACTGTCATTCATTTGTAGTTCCTATTATTACACTCTATTACATAGTGTAAGGAGATAGTAAAATGAAGCAATACAATTACCTTATTTGGCCTTCCAATCAACGGATTATTCCCACATCTTCTATTGATGATGTCACGAATAAGATGCTTTTGCCCATTGTATGTTGTTAGAATACTAATTTTGTCCGCAGGGTAACCAAGTAAGCACATGTACATAAAAAGTGCTACTACATATTCTGCCTCGCCAAGATTCTGTAATGCAAATATAATCACACTGTGCGTTTATTCCTTTTTGTTTCAATTTGATAGAGAAAATGGCTTCTCTAATACATCCTGTTCACTTTGCATACCACAAGCAAAGAATTAATAACCTAGACAACTGAACACTTTTGATAAAACTAAAGGATAACCTTATGCTAGGTTAATACCAATAAATAAAAACTTTAGCATCTGCAATACACAGAACAGTCATAACATAAAAGTTACCAACTCAAAGACCTAATATTTCAGACAGAACAACAAATAGTACACAAAGTAATACAATTTTGTGCAGTGCACTACAACGGTAGCTATGGAAAGAATTTTTTTTATTTTAAGAAATAAAAGAGGGAAAACATTAACGAACAGACATCCATTTACAAAACAGTATAAGAACAATACAAACAAAACAGTTACAGACAAAGTTGTGGGAAATTAACAATGGCTATTGTATTACTTATTAATACCTTTAAAGTGGTTTCTCAAGAAAACAAATAGAAACATATAAGATTGATCAAACAAGTAATCATTAACTGTTCCTTTCTGTAGAACAAAAGAAGACACTAGTACAACTATGTTAGCTATCCTGTATACACATACTTACATAATTTCCCCTTTTTTCCCTTCTCTTTTCCCACATCCCAATTGCCCTTTACTTTTGAGCATTTTCCTTTCGTTTCACAATGTCTATCATATTTCCTAGTTTCTATTCACTCTTTCAGGTCTTATACTAGTGAGACAATACAATTCTTACACATGCAGGTCTGACTTATTTCACTTATGAGTATGGTCTCCAGTTGTGACCATTTACCTATAAAAGCCTCGAGTTCATCTTTCTTTATAGCTGACTAATATTCCATTATATAAAAGTATCACAATTTTTTTATCCAATCCTCAGTGGATGGACATTTGGGTTGCTTCCACAATTTAGCAATTACAAATTGTGCCGCTATGAACATGGATGCACATATATCACTATGATATGATGTTTTCAGGTCTTCTGGGAAAATACCCAGAAGGGCAATAGCTGGGTTGAATGGGACCTCTAGACCTCGTTTGCTGAGGAATCTCCAAACTGATTTCCACAGTAGTTTCACCAGTCTGCATTCCCACCAGCAGTGGAAAAGAGTTCCTATTTCTCCACAGCCTCACCCACATTTGTTATTGGCTGATTTCCTAATGACAGCCATTCTTACTGGGGTGAGATGAAATCTCAGTGCTGTTTTAATTTGCATTCCTCGAATGACTAATGATGTTGAACACTTTCTCATGTATTTCTTTGCCATTTGTGTTTCTTTATCTGAGAAGTGTGTATTTATCTCAGCTGCCCACTTGTGGATTGGGTCTTTGAATTTGGGAGGACTAATATTTTTAAATTCTTTATATGTTCTAGATAGAAGACCTTTGTCCAAGGGACAGTCAGCTAAAATTTTTTCCCAATTTATGGGTTTTCTTTTTACTCTGCTGGTGATTTCTTTAGATGTGCAGAAACTTTTCAGTAGGATGAGATTCCAACTGTTGATTCTTTGAATTATTTCATGGGCAGTTTGTTTTTTGTTCATGAACTCTCTGCCTACCCCTATGTCTTCAAGGTTTTTACCTATTTTCCCTTTATGGAAAGAAATTTTAACAAGAGGAATGAAGTAACTTATCTAAGTAGTAAGTACAGAATCCAGTCTAACAGCATTACACCTCCAGCAGAATTGTAACTGATCTTCAATTTTTAAAAATTTCATTTTATTTTTGTTCATTTTTTTGCATGTACTGGGGATCAAACCCTCGGGTGCTCTACCAGTGAACTACATCATTAGCCCTTTTTATTTTGTATGTTGAGACAGGGCCTTGTAAGTTGCCCAGATGGGCCTTAAATTTTCAATCCTTCTGCATTAGCCTTCAGAGTAGCTAGACTTACAGGCATGTGCCACAGTGCCAGGCTTTGATCTTCAATTTCTATACTGCTTTTCTATCTTTCTTATGTTTTTGTATGTTTTCTGTGTGTTCTGATTTTGTTCTCATGCTGATGGTTACTACCTCTACTAAAGCAAAGAAAAGAACGTGGCCTCAAACTGCTCAGGCCTGTTACCGTTACGAGACTCTTTGTTAGAGTGAGGGGGAAGGAGCTTAAATCCCAGGGCTTAACTGAGCTTGAGAGTGAGAAATCACACACAAAGCTCTTCAGTTTAGCAAAGACTAAATTCAAAGTACTAGAAGAGAGAGGATAGTAAAATGAGAACATAACCACAATATAAAAATAGAAAAGAAAAAAATAACAAAGATAAAAAGTTGGATTTCAGGCAAAGGCCATAGGAAAATTACTGGAAATCTTCTGAAATATCATTTATACTCTTGGTTCTTGGTGACACACAGTTCTTTTCATTTAAAGTCTCTAACTCTTTGGAAGATGGGAAAGAAAAGAAGCCACACGACTAAGTCTTTCCATTTTCTATATTGATAGCAAAATATTTTCATCTAAGTATCAGTCCTAGTACATATACAAGAACAAACTGAAAATCATGGAAATGACTATAATAAAAGGTAGGGCTGCAATTCAGCCTTCAAGACTTAGGTATTTTTGGCCACATTAATGCAATGAGTTCTCAATAAATAGAATCCATTTCTTTTTCATGTGAAAAATGAACACTGCTCAATCCGTACTCCACCCAAAGTATTAGCATTAATAATAAAACACAAATTTTATACAGACTCTTCCCCACTCTCGACCACTCCACCCTAGGGGCTGGTACCAGGGGTGGAACCCAAAACCCACACACTGAGCCCTTTTCATTTTGAGACAGAGTTTCACCAAGTTACCCAGACTGGGCTCGAATTTGCCATCCTCCTGCCTCAGGCTCTCAGAGTTCTGGTTCTGTAAGTAAGTACCACCATCATGCTTGGCTTGTAAATTATACTTCAACAAATATTTTAAATTTTGGCCAAATAAATCAAGACCTCTTCAAATTAGACTTTTATTCATTTATCCACTTATCCTCTCCCTGTGAAACACTTAATTCTTCGAAGATAATGCTTACATGTAGAGTGTTCTTACTTTGGTGAATAAAAATACTCTTTGGAAATATATTTAATAGTGACAATCATCATATGAAAGTATATTTATGTATATTTTCTTGTAATTCTAACTCATCCAGAGTTAGGATTAATGAATAAAAACCAGATAACCAATCTGAACAAGGTTTTGCATCAGTACTAATATACTGCTTCTCAGCTTTTGGCTAAGATCGAGCATAGTATCAGATCAATATCATCGTATGGCTCAGGTAATGACACTTCTCAAAAGGGAAATTCCAGAAACTAGTATGTAAAATATGCAGTAGGATATTAACAGAATCCTTAGTCACCTTCAAATATGGCCATTATGAATCATATAAGTAACTTGAATTAGGTTTTAATACTTTTCTTATATTTTGAGATATACACACTTTATTTCACATTTGAATGTTTGTATTTGAAAGTTACATATGTTTTCAGACTCGTAATTATACAGAGTGACTTGATTTAATATAATTCAATGTTTGGAGGGAAAACAGCATCATTACCAGTTATATGTACATATACGCATTTAAGTGTGTATCATGTATCAGTGATATATGATGCTTTTTCATGTATAACTCAAGGCTTATTTATATAATAACATATACTAGGTATTTTCCTATAAAGAGAAGAAAAAAAGAAAAACTTAAAGTAACTCCAAATGCAACCATTCTAAATAATGTTCTGTTTTGGTGCATATGCTGTGAGATCTTTTTGTATAGGTTGTCTGTATATATTGCTTCATGCTATGTTTTGTTTACTTTTTAAAATACAGTGAGATATCACAGATATACTTTCTAATTTGCTTTTCTTGGTCACTTAATATAGCATATACGGTTTTCTTGTCAATAAAAAAAGTTATTATTCTTAATGGCTACTCAGTATTTCTTTTACATAAAATAGGTAACACTTCAATCTACTGATACCCAGATTGTTTCTGGTATCCAAAATAATTTACAGCAATGGCTATTTTAGTATATAAGTTTTTGCAAATTCAGCAAATTATTTTCTTAGGATATTGCTTTTAATATATACTATATTACACATTATTTTCCTACCAGCATTGTGTGTGTATAGACTTTTCCCCAAATTTGCTCCAACACAAACTACTGCCTGATCCAATGCCGAATGACCATTGTAAATCTACTATCTTTTTTGTGAAGTACATATTCTTATGTCTATTGAGTTTAAAAATTAATTTAAACACATATATATTCATACATACATATACAGTATATTCAGAATTCAACCCATTATTTGTTAAATGTTAAAAATAGATTTTCTCTCAAGTCAGTATTTTTCTTTGTAATTTGTGCTTTGGCAAAACCCTTAGAAAGACTTTTGGCATAACACATGATCATCAGTACTACTAGTATTTTCAAGAGGGGAGGGGGTCTATTGGGAATCAAACTCAGGATCTCATGCTTGCCAGGCAGGCACTGCACCACTGAGCTAAACCCCCTGGCCCGTCTAGCATTTTCTAGTAAGTTTATAATTTCTTTAGTGTATCTTTAAGCTACGTGAAATGGATTTTTCCATATATGTGTTATGTGCAAGGTGGGACTCTAAACTTTGTTTTAAATGGTTTAGCTAATGATTAGCTAATGATTCAGTGTCAATAAATTAGGTAGTATTCAGCCAGGCAAATACAAAATAAACATAAAAGCTTCATGCTATTTCTTACCTGATAAAAGTAAGGATTAGGTTCAGATTCTCCCACTCCCTGAAAATCTTCAACATTAATGAGCTGGAAGTCATAGAGCAAGCCAGCATTTGCTGTACTGAACTCCGGCAAGAGCTGCACATGGGGTAAGTTTCCAAGGTTCTTGTACCGCCAGTTGTAGAGGTTACACAAGCTTTCCAAAGACAAATCCCCCAGACAGGAAAGATTAGCAACACGAAATCCCTTTTAAAATATCTAAGGAGGTTTCTATGGAACTATGCTTGCTTTAATTTTCATGGTACCCATTTTTGCTCACCCTTTTAGCAAGACCTAAAATGATACCTTTTCAAACAGCCTCCAAGAGTCAGAAGACTAAAGACATCAGAAAAACGAAAGCTCTATCATACTCTGAGGCAAATGCTATTGTTATACCACAAATTAAAAACTCGGAGACTCTCAAAACTGAGGACACTGGCAGTAACTACGAGATGCTAGTGGGACCTCTATGAAGTGAGAAATAGTATACTTTTGCTTGTTCACTTTTGCTTTAGATTTCAAAATTACACTGGCTATATCTTTTGGGGATATGAAGGAAGGGAAAGGTACAGTGAAAAACATAGGTTATAGATCACTTAAATTGATTTCAATTAATAAAATGAAAAAAAGCAACTACCAAGTTCCTGGATAACAAAACTTTACATGAAGATGATTACAAATAGTTGGATCATGGAATTGATGTCCTCAACAGAGGAGGTACTTTTCCCTGTCTCCTTACCTTGCTCTGGCTCTACCCTGAGCATCAAGATCCACAGTTGGAACTCCGACACGGACAAAGCGAGTGAAGAGAGACTGCTCCATGTTTGAATACTTCTGAAAGGCCATGTTCTTAATGACTGGCGGTAACTGGTGATGATCACCAATCATAATCCATCGTTTCAGCCGGCTAAATCCATCTTGAGGATTCTAGGAATGGAAAGCGAAAAAATGGCAAAAAAAATAGTTAATATATTATCCTGTTAGTTATCCAATTTATTGTACAAGAGACTGTTCTTCACTAAATGGCTTCAATTGCCTACAAATTCTCTACCTTTACTAGCTCTGCACAGAAGACTGGCACATTTTACAGGACAACTAGTGAACCAAGTATGGGGGTTGACACTCTGAGCTGATCGTGGGCAAGAAAGTGTGAAGGACTGAGAAGGTAAGCATGCAGTTGCCCTACTGTAACAGTCAGGGTAATGTGAAGAGGGCCTGAAGGTTCAGGTCAGCATTGCACCAAGAGAACACAGACAGACAGGTGCCCAGGAGAGAAATGGAAAAATGTCAAAGTAAACACCTTGTTCCACAATTATGCCAAGAACCAGTTCGGAACCTAAGACAGTAAAAACTACCTTAATTTCTTCTGCTATTACCTCAATTTTCTACTCTGTGCCATGAAATACATAAACTACATTACAAGTTCCAATATAGAAACAACTTCTGCTAATGTAGCTGTAAACTGAAATAGTCTCTACTCTTACAGTGGGAATTCTACATTTTGTTTTTAATGCATCCATAGTGAAAAATATTGTACAGTAAAAAATATTGCTAAAATATCACTACTTGAGTCAAAAATTTAGAAATAAAATAAAGCAATGTACTCAGAATATCAGAAACTTCTAGAAACAAGTCTAAAAGAAATGAAAACACTGGTTTTCTTTCCTAATTGCATAAAAATGTAATTTTCTTGATTAAAATTACTCTTTCAAAACAACTTTGCAGTTATAAATTACAAATTTTTTAGAATAGTTATCTTCAAAGCAATACAAACTACCCAATAATCCATGATTATATTAAGGTTAGTTTGCAGGCTTAAAAAAGAATCCCAAACAAAACAAAGTTAAGGAGAATATGTAACTGTGACAATTAACACCCCTAAACTATGTGGCTTTCTGATATTGGTCCTAAAAATTCTTAAAAGATTTTGGCTCAGATTTTAATTTCTTACCTGTAGAAGGAGGGGTATAAAAGTTTCTATCTCCAGAATTTGAGCAGCCTCTTCCATTAAAATGTTATCATACTGAAAAAAAAAAAAAAAAACTTGTCAAAAAACCCCCATAATATCATTTTAAAAATCCTATTAATTTCAGATAAATAGCATCACACAAATTACACAGTTTATGATCTTATTTATTATGTCCTTTGTATCTCCAATTCATGTTTTTAACCTCAAAACAGCCCTCTAAATCTATATACCCCATTGCAGACATCTTGCAAATAATTTCTTGGATTGCAGTATCTATTTAGTTCTTTTCAACTTAGTTTTTTAAATCCTACATAAGCAAGAATCAATTTATAAGTATGTATGGGGTCACTGCCATTGTTATTCTCACTGAACGTAGTATTTTGCCATCACTGTTTCACCTGGATGAATCTTACCCATTACAGCAATCCATTTCTGTTTTACCCTGGGCATCTATTTCATCTTTTACCATAGTATGTCAATATTACCTTCAAAACTCCCTTTAGAATCAATTTCTTTTCTCCGCTTCTACCAGCTCTCCTATTCTGGAACAACTCACCACAATGGCTGCTGCCAGCAACTTTCATATTAGTCTCTTCCTTTTTGTCTTGCTTCTCCTTAAGCCACTGGTAACAGTTACAGGGTCACGTTACCCCCTGGTTTATCACTTATAAAGGTTGAATTAGGAAAAAATCCTTTAACATAGCCTGCTCTAGGGAGTATAGGGTTATCTGTTTTATGTTAAGTAGATCTACAAGGTTTCCAACTCTAAGTTTGAAAAGTTAAATGTTGGGGCTGGCTGGGGATTTAGCTCAGCGGCACAGCACCTGCCTGGCAAACGCAAGGTCGTGAGTTCGATTCCCAGCACCAGAAAAAAATAAAAAAAAAAAGAAAAGTTAAATGTTAATATTAAAAATATTAAAAAATCCTATTATCACTAATACTAAACCTTTAGTAGAGTATAACATGATGATCGGTATAGAAGATTAATGAAAATTTGATAAGCAGAAAGCAGTACTTTTTAGAATTCACATGAAAAGCTGCATGAAAGCATAAAATGCTAGTTCAGATTGTATCATTTCCCCTTGCTGTCAAACAGATATGGCTTAATACTTAAAGTAATTTTATATGTCAGTCCCAAGAATAAAATATTTAGGTGAAAAATTCTCACTAATAACTTGCAAAAGGGTAAGTTCACACCAGTGGGATAAGTTCACACTACCTTTTAATAAATCATCCTATTTGTCCTACCTTGCAGCTGAGGAACTTTTTATCCAAGATAACAACAATTCTAACACCTTTAATTTATTTAGCACTATCTTTCCATGAGCTCATACATCTTAAAATTATCAGTTACTTTTATCAACAAATGAATTACTAACTTTGAATTCAAATCAGTACACAAAACCTATATTAAACAACAGTTGCATAAAAGTTAAATGATTTGTATTAAAATCTGAACGTAGCTCAGTATCAGTAACAAAGTCACAGTGAATCTAGAAATCAAAGTTTACTCCTCAGTCACTACATTCCATTTCAACTGAGTCACAGGCTGATGGGTTAGCGTGCCCTCCTTTTGTCATTATTAAATGGCAAACTCACTTTGATATTATTCTACAGACTAAATATAGGAACCCTGCACATGTACAGATGTCTCAGACTAAAACTATTATGAAATATTGTTCTTAAAACTTTTAGTTCTGTTTAGAGATTTTTTAACAAGTGATGCTTGGTAATAAAGCCTTAACAAGTATGAGAATCTGGTTAGATGACCATATGATTATAATGTTAATTAGTAGATGTTTTACTGCAGATTTAGAAAAACTAGACTTAAGTTCACTATTATACAAATATGTGATATTATTATCCATCTTTAAAAGAGACATTTTAAAGGAATTACAAATGAGAACTTTCATAAAAAGTGAGCTAATCAACAAGGGAAAATGCCTCAGTAATTAAAAAAGAAAAAAGGAAAGAAACAAAATTTCTAACCGAAAAGGGAATGAGTTAAGGAACTAAAATATGTAAGTCTGTACCTTGAAACCTAACTTGACCAGGTCATGTCGTTTTAAGGCAGCATGAGTACAGGTCATAGCAATGATCTTAGCTTCCTTCACCAAAAGGTACTTCGAGCGGTCCAGTCCACTTCGAAGTAGTTCAGAGGCTCGGAATTCCTACAGGAGCCGGGAGGGGTGTCAGTGAAAGATCACCTTAGCATAACACACGTAGTTAATGCATATAACCATACAATCAGTCAGTCCATCAGACTTAATTCCTCAGAAACTAATATATCAAAACTAAGCCTAATTAATAAAAATTTTATTGTAATTTAGATGTTAGTTGACTTCTAATAGGTGATATTCAAGCTATAATTTGGAGTCATTTTTGCAAAAGCTTAAACATTTCTATTATTTTTATAGCTTTTATTTTTGTTTATTGAGATCTTATGACATTAAAAAATAGTGGGTAAAATATCAATTACCATTGTAGCTGATTACTGTAAGTCCTTCCTGGAAAATAAAATCTATTGCAAATGTTCATATTGAAAGGAGCAAGGAATCAGTTACACAGGTGACAGATGAGCTGAGAAGCCAACCAGGAATGTAGTAACCCAGACACTGTCCACAGCAGGAAGACAGCGCTACCCTAGACTACGAAGGATGAAGGGTAGAAGTGGTCCGCTCAGAGCCCAGGGACTAGGGTCACAAAACCAGCTGGAACCACAGCAGCCTAGTCCAGCAGAAGCTGGAGCCATGGAAGAAATGAGACCCAAGGCAGAGAGAACCGAAGGAAAAAACCCTGACTTCTCTCTTTTCTCAGCCCCTGCCACAGCTCTTAGGATGTGGCTAAATTGAGCCAGAATACAGCTGAACTACAAAGTTGGCCCTTTAAACCTGCAAGGATCAGCCTGTGCCTAAGCATGGCAGAACATCCCCCAAAGAACAGAATGCAAGATGGACAGCAGGTGTGAGTAAAGGGCAAACAGGCCCAGGCAGACGACACGATATCAAGTTTTATTAAATCTAAACATGATTCATACTTATTTTAAATCTTAATATTTGTTGTCTTGTTTCTTAAACTAAATTAAACGTTACTGATATAGACGAGGTATCCTGTATATCCTCCTCACTCCCAAGGCTACTATTATTGTGAACTGAGTATATTTTATCATTTTCCTTTGTGTTTACATAATCGTAACATAATAAAATATTGTTTCTCAGGATTAAGTATATTATCATATTTTACATTTATTATTGTACATATCCATCCACCTACCCGAATATGCATTATTACTTATGGAATATCTATTATGTGCCAGGTACTGTTCTAAGAAGTAAGGGGAGAATCGTATCTAAAATATATAAAGACAAAAGCTAAGTCTGTGCCCTTTTTACCTGGAATGATGCTAAACCTTATTGAGGGGTCTGAACCTGAGTGTGATTGCTTTATAGGATTGCTGCAGGATATACGTAAATATATATATAAATCCTTTGTTGGACTACGTTTGGTGTAAGGGACTCAAAACTAGGAGTTATCTAAGGTGTCTTTAGATTCTCTGTCCTGTCTGTGTAGTGGTAATTCTTATCTTGCTCTAATATTGATATCTTTCATCTTGGCTAATACAGAAACCTATGAATGCCTGTGTGGCATTCTCAAATTCCCATGCAAAGAACTATAGTATTGTTAAATGTCCTGATAAAAGCACTGCTTTCTTAAATACAAATAATGACAATACAATTCATCTTAATTTTTGCTTACTTTTTGGATCACAGCTGTCCATGTTTTCAAAAATTTCATTTAAAAGTAACAATCTGATTTATAACATATTAATATTCCGTATTTACTTCATTCTAAAAAGACTGTTTAACCTAACAATCTTTGAAGGAAAATTGAAAGAAATGGAGGTTACCTCAAGCTGAGTAAAGATTTTCTTAATATGCCTAAAACATCCTTCAGCAATTTCCATGTCTTCTTCATAAGATCTGCCTTTAAAAATGGGCTGAGGAGCATTTGCAAAATACTCATGGAAGGGGAAGAAAGTGGATATTTCTGTAACATCTGGCAAGGCACTACCTTTATTTTTCACTTTGCTGATATATTCTTCCCAGCGAGACATCACCTGTAAACAAAGAACTTGAGGTTTACTCTGTCATCTCATTATGTTTTAAATAACAATGTTAAAAATAAATCTAGGGAAAATAAGATCTTCTAGGTAAGTAAAGAAGAAAGCTAATATCTGACCCACTAGAACTGTTTCTCATCCAAGTTATGACAGATCACACTTTTAAAAATTAACCTTAGGGCCTGAGTGGGGGGAGAGAGCTCTTTAAATAAAAAAAAATAGAAACTGGAAAGAACCTTAAGGTCATCTCATGCAATTATATCTCAGATATTTTAGATTCTCTGTCTATTCAAGATAGTTTAGAAATGTAGAGAACAGAAGACAAAAGAAAACTCTAGACAAAGAAAATTCCCATTTTTTGCATCATTTGCTTTGCTCCACATATAAACTCAGCTTTTAATCAATCCGGCATTTGTCAACCCTCCTACACTTTCATATATATTTTTTCAAATCTGTTTAGAACATTTATGAAGACGTTCTGGCTGAGTATGAGTCTACTGGAGAGCTCACCTTAGGACTTCAGCAATACAGTTTAATTATGAGTTTGATAATGCTAGCTATACCTCCACCGCCAGTTCCTCCTTAACTTCAATTTTTTAAGTTCTCCCAGTTTTTCCTGTTATAATTTCAATGTTTTCATAGGGTAGTCCTTAGATAGGCAGAATATGTGAAGAGCTAAATAAAAATATAAACCTTAGATCACACGCTTTCTGAATGAAGCTTGGAGGACAGGGCTTGGGAATTTGACCTAGTGTAAAACTTTCCTAGCGATGATTCTTGTATGTTGAAAATTGTTATTCTACACTGTGAAGCTTCAAGTTCTCTTTCTCCAAATTTATTACAAAAATCTTCACATCTATAGATCATGTCTCCCACTTTTCAAAGTAGCTTCTAAAAAGAGGAATGATTTTTTTCTGTCACACAAATAGATAAGCAAAATCTCTATGCCATCATCCCAAGTTTTGAATAGCTTGAGACTAATGTAGACGACTTTGCAAGACAATGTATGTCTTCCTTACTTCTCAGGAAGCCATCCAATTTGCTCATTTTGAATCCACTCAACTGGTTGAAGTATCTGCTTATAAAGAGCATAAGCCTATAGTTACAAAAAGCATAAGCCCCCAAATTTTAATGTTATCATTTATATCTAAAATGCCAAATAGCATTAGTATAGTGTGAACAAATGAAGTTTATAAAATCTTCGTTATTTGATTATACCTTAACCTATTAAAATTCTTAGCCATACTACTATTAAAAGTTCACCATTTTACTCAACATTTTATTTCTCACTCTTTTTCGTACCTCAGAAATTAACCTTAACAAAAGCAAAATGTGCATTTTAGTTCAACAGAAATTTTTAAGTTTTTGATCTTTAAGTTTTTACACAATCATTTCTAAGACTTAATTTATTTTGGAGCTTTAAAAGGAGCACACGTTTTCCTTCATTAGCTGATTAATGATACAATAAAATTACAGAACTGTACTTTATTATTTGTTACCACTTGGTAGCTACAAGATTTAGTTATATTTCTACAGTAATGGGGAGAAGGAGAGAATGGGAGGGGCGGAGAGTGAAAACTGTAATTGAAGAAACAGCAACAACAAAAATTTAAAAAGTAGCAACACTGGCCTTTTACTGAATGAGTCATCAAGCGGAGTTATTTAGAAAAGAAAATTGAATGTAATAAAAAATACACTTAACATTCATAAACATAGCTTTGACAACACCATATATTTTAATTTACTAAAAAAAATATAAGCTTTCAAGAAGAATCTCAAGAACACATCCCAGTTTCCAACTGGGGACCATATTATAATGCAGTATGACTTTAAAAACAATGATGTCTTACCTGATATAAGAAGAAATAGCCTGCAGTTTCACAGGTGTATGAGGCATCTCCTGGAACCCCTAGACTCTTTTGCAATCGTTTGACTTCTTCTAAAAGTTCTATTCTTCGAGCCAAGACATAATTAACTCTTCCATACCTAGAAATTTCAATTAGGTAAAAAAGGCAAAATTGTGTAATGAAGAGACTTTGAAGGAAACTGTCAGTTAAATTTAAAACAAAGAAACAAACAAGCAACTTATACCAGAAACTGTAAGTGGCCAAAGATGGGGAGGACAGCAGAAAACAAAATTTATGTTGACTTATAGTTGGCTGCTCTTGAGTTACTGTATACCAAAGTAACTTATAGTATACTCTAAGGTCCAGTCCTTATCTGCAAATGTGTTGCTAGTTTGTGTGGAGGGGAAAATCAATTATTTCATCTATTTTTTGTTTCCTTCATAACAAATCTTGCACAATAAAGGAAGGAGGACAGCACATTCTGGTGCTAGTCAAGAAAAGACAGAGCATATAGTTTACAGATTGGCTAACATAAAAGTAGACTAGGTTAGTTCTTAAGGCTTTGCAAATTATTTGAAAATGTATTTGCTCATCCTCTATGTATCTTGGCATCTACATATGCCATTCTCATCTACATAGCCTAGCATGTAGCTTAGACCCAAACCTAGCAGGGTCCTACACATTTGCTACATAGAGCGGAAACAGAAACAGAAGCCTGGAGTCTACGCTGTCCTCAGGGAGATAATCAGGAGAGAAAGTAGGTCCCAAATTGGAACCAGAATATGATCCCAAAGCACATAATTTTTTCCACAACAATTAAGAGGCTCCTATAACCCTTCACCAGTTGAAACTAAAGTAAAATAGTCTAACCACTGCTCTTCACAAGTTTTAAATATAAGACAAAGGAAGAAGTCATATTTCGCACTATTGAATAGTTCAGAGGCAGCAAGGAATGAATGACAATAAAAGAAGACACAAGACATGGCCTATGCTTTAAAGAAATCTTTACCCAGTAGCAAGGGACACAAATAAACATTATAGCAGGTTATTTCGTTTATTTATCTATACTTTAAATTATTTTCTACAATGAACACTTTGGTAATGAGTAAAAAAACTAGAAACGCTTGTAGAGTATGTAATAAAATGCCAGAATTCTTATGATAAAACAAGAAATTCTCTTCACAGGAATAACTGCATGCTTGAGGGAACCACTGCCTGAACACAGAAAACCAAAGCTGAGAGACCATGATCAGATTTTTAGGTCAAGGTATGGTCTAAATCAGTTACACCAGAACCTTTTAAAATAGTTTGACTATTCATCGCTCTCTTTACTTGGTGTTTCTTCAGTAAAGGAAGACAAAAACTTTTGTACGCTGTTTCAAAACTCCCAGCCATTTGCTCACCTGCTGAAATCCTTCTCAGTCTCCAGCTCTTCTTCTCCGTGACCAAGACGTAGTAGGTGCCGCTCATCAATGTCTAAAGCCATGATCTTCTCAAACAACTGGTTCAGGGCCTGGAGAATAAAGTAAAAAGGTTGACGGTGAGTTTCAAAGATTCAGGACAAGAAGGAAATAGTGCTTATGTTAGGTCATTTATATTTTAAACACAATAGTGCTTTTGTTGATTTATTATATTGCCACATATTTACACTTGGCCAAATAATAACTAGATACCATAAAAACCATCAAATCTCTGACTCTGAGGCACTACCATTTCCTAAAATAATTAATATACTGAGTATCATTTCACTCAACAGCATTTCCAGGAGCTGCAGAAAACTGAGAAAGTTTTTGCACCTGGAGAAAGTACAACAGTAGAATACACTAAGAGGACCGGAAAAAGGTGAAGTGCATTATTCAAATCTTTGGTTTAAAGTCTAATTCTCTGTATTATGAGCAGGCCACTCATTTATCACAAATAGCCATTTAGAAATCATTTCTTTCTACCTACAAAACGGCCATATTTAGATTTCCTCAAATCCTAGTATTCAGTATGTGAACAAAAAAATAACAATAATCCTGTAACCCTTTATTTATTCGGATAAAAAATAAAGGGTGATAAAAAATAAAGATGTCATTTAAAAATTAGTCCCTTTCAAAGTACCTCTTTTCATTTATCACTAATCCAACTCTCCCTATCAAGTCAATATCTGGTCCTGTAAACATTAGGTTTTATAACGTAAATACATTTTTTGCTATTGAAATTCTAGCAGGGTTCAGAAACTGAAGAGATTAACATGAATTTTCATGAACTTCCCACTATCCTAATTTCTAGTACTCACTATACAAAACTTAGGACCCAACAGATGAGACAATGTGAGATCAATTGTTATGCCAACTCAAGAACCACACAGATTTAGAAACCAAAAATACAAATTACAATTATAGAAAAACTACATTTCATTGTCAGTTAGAATAACATTGGAGGAGTACTTGAACTACATGTGCAAATGAAGATCTGGCAAACAAAATAAAGAAGAACTCAAGAAAAAAAAAAATCAACAATTTGATGGACCTCCAGAAGGATGAACTGAATTTAAAGGATCGAGTCAGTCATACGTAGAGAATACTATATAAACTCACATCAAGGCATGACAAAAGCTCATAAAACACACTATGTTAAAACAACACATAACATATTCTTTGTTCATTCTAAGACTTTACATATACATATCATTATTACAGAATAAATTTTTTCAATAGAAGAAAAAATTTGCTCCCATAATATCGCATTTCTTTTATCAAGATGAAGTCCAAACCAACCTCCTGATTGTACTACTCTTACAAATTCAGCACACTGCACAAAAAAACCCCCACAAAAATCACCATTACTTACAACTTTCCAAACATTATAAAAAATTATGGGTGAATAAACTAGATAGCAACATGTAAATAAATAAGATAAATATTGTAAATCAGATGAACAACAGACTAAGTGACATTCCCAAAACTCTATATTTCTTTGTAGACCAAATCAACTAAAGATAGGTCAACTGAAGTCATCATTAATATAGATCTGAGAAAATAAACACATCTGGAGGTTTGGAAGGCACACAAGTTTCAGTGTGTTTTATGGGATGCTCCAAGAGCTGCCTGTTAAAATATTTTACAAAATATTTTACAGAGCTAATAAATATTACTTGTTTCTGCTCACTTCTGACAGCTCCAGAGGGACAAACATAGCATACATCCTTCAATATAAGAGAGACTGTATTCACAGATAACTTCACAGGGATTTTAAATTAAATCCAGTATCAAGAGACTTTAGTCTTTTATTCCACCAAATGAAGAAAAATACTACTGGTAAGCATCAGTTAATTCTCTCAGTCCCAGAGCAAAAGCTCTGGCACATACAACACACACACACACACACACACAGCAAAAGCTCTGGCATGTACAACACACACACACACACGCTCACACTCACACACATACACAGAGTCATTCACCTGATTGGAATGGGTAACAATAAGAGTCCTCTGCTCTGGAAAATTGTGGTAGATGTTGGATATGATTTGTACTGCCACATCTGTTTTTCCTGTACCAGGTGGGCCCACAACCTAAAAAAATTGTAAACACATATCCAATATTAAGTTATCACATTACTAAAATTGGAAATTCTACAACTGAAAGACTAAAACACAAAAAAATTCATTGGATGGGCTCAAGAACATAGTGGGTAGGACACAGGAAGGGTTAGTAAACTGAAAGATAAATCAATATAAATTATCCAATGTCAAAAAGAAAAACATTAAAAAACTTCAAGAGACTCCTGAATCTATGGGATAACACCAAAAATCTAACATTAATAATACTGAATTCCTAAAAGGAAAATGTGTAGATTATGGAAAAAATATCTGGAGAAATAATGGTTGAGATAATAGACCCAAGAATATGCTGTTTACATGAAAATCACTTTAAATAAAATAAGAGGTAGGCTAGAAGTAAAACAATGAAGAAGAAATCATGCAAACAACTAATCAAAAGAAAAATGCAGTGCTATAGTAACAGCAGAGAAAGTGAACCGCAGAGCAAAGGAAGCTGCCAGTGACGGAGACATTACATAATAATAAAGAAGCCCATTCATCAAGAGGAGAGGATATTGAAGGTGCAGGCAGCCATCAACAAAAGCTTCAAAATATATGAAGTAAAGGTTAATGGAAATGAATGGAGAAAAAGATAATCTTAATATTTTTCTCTCAAAAACAGAAATTATTGTTTCGGTAGATGAAAAATCAGCAGATAGAAAAGAACTGAACAATACCATCAACTAAATGGATCTAACTGACAGTTATAGTTCAGTCCATCCACAAAACAGAAATCACATTTTTTTAAGTTCATATGAAATACACATCAAAAAGATCATACCCTAGGCCATTCGGCAAATCTTTTTTTTTCACTTTCTCATACATTCTTTATTTCTTTTTTTTATTTTAAAGATAAAAGAACAAACATTTACAAAATAACACAAAAACAATACAAGCAATACTATATTTCAGACAAAGTGATAGGAAATTAACAATGGCTGTTGTACTACATATTGATATCTTCAAATTGGTTCCTCAAGTAGACAAATATAGACATGTAAGATTCATCAAACAATTAAACATTAACTATTCATTTCAATAAAGCAATAGAAGTCAGTAGTACAACTATGTTAGCTATCCTGTGTACACACATATAATTTTCCCCTTCTTTCTTTTCTCTTTTCCCTCATCCCAGTTGTTTTTTACTTCTGAGCAGTTTCCTTTTGTTTCCCATTATCTATTATACCTCCTAATTTTTATTTACTCTTTCAGGTTCTTACACTAGTGAGACAATACAGTGTTTACACATGCGGGTCTGATTTATTTCACTTGTGAGTATGGTCTGTAGTTGTGTCCATTTACCAAATCTTAGCAAATTAAAAAAACAGAAAACAAAAGACTGAAATCATACAACGTCCTTTGACCATAATAGACTTAAAGCAGAAATAAACAAATGGAAGACAATAAGTAAATCTTCAAGTATTTGGACATTAAACAAACTTCTAAATAATGGTAAGGAGACCTTTTTTTTTGTAAAGGGCAAGAAAGTAACCACTGTGGGCTTTGCATGCTACACACCTCTGCAGTTGTGACACTAAAGTGACCATAGGCAATACGTATTAAAAAAGCATGACATATTCTAAGAAAACTTTATTTATTAATACTAAAATGCGCGGCAAGATCTCCACAAATACCATACTCAGAAATACCTACATTTAAGTAGAGCTTTTGTGCTTCAAATATATTCAAAATCTTGTGCTTACTTCTAGTTTTAATCCATGTGACAAAACCTATAACAGCGATTCTCTTACCATAGTTAGCCCTGGCTGCATCCCAGCACGGATGGCTTCTATTTGTGTATGAGTGAACTGAATTGTATTAC